GAAGAGGTGACTTACCAACAAAGCAGAACAAGTGTCCATTCTGTTCTAGGAGAAATGGGGGGAGGGGCACGTATCACACTCCCTGCGCGTGCAACCTGGCTCTATTTCATTTCTTATCTATCCTTGGATGTCTGATGCCTATGAAGTTGCCCACTGTGTCCTTTCAATAAACTCCTCAATTGGAACAAGTATGAGTGAGTTTCTGTTCCTTACAGGCAAAACACCTTAGCATTATATTAGGTCCCGCAGCCGATATAAAGATGGAAAATACCTAGTTCTCTCAGCCCTCAAGGACCATGTAGTTAGGAGCAGCTAAGTATACAATAATCATAATATAAGGCAGACAGACTATAAGAGGCATAGAAAGCACTATGAGATTTCCAAGAGAGGGTCGGATCATAGCCAATTCAGAACATCAAAAAGGCTTCATGGAGGAAAGGGAACTACACAGTAATCACAATAGATGGTACTCTGGGATATTTTTAAAATGTATTTACTAAGACAAAGAAAATGAGGAATCCTAAATCAGTCAACAACAAAAACATTAATTTTATTGGTCCATGAAATCGAAAAATCTGATAACAATGAGCCACAGGACTTGGCAACTGGTTATAAGGATGACAGCAAGAGAAGAGTTAAATGAGTGTTTTCAGCCTAGATGATTTTGAGAATGATGAGGCCAGAGCAGGCAAGTGCACGACAGGTGGATGTGGAGGAGAGTGAAGTGGGGAGTAAGTGCTGTATTGGACGTATCGACCCGCGGTAAGCAGCAGCCAGTAGTTCATTAATTCACTGGGGAAACAGGAGAAAGATGAGCCATTTCAAGTACAGAAAACAAATTTCTCAAAAATTCCAAGTGAAAAACTGTCCTCTAAAAGAGGAACTAAAAACTGTTCACAATGTCTGGATTTTTTCTTTTGCATTTTGAACTTTCCATTTTTGCAAAGCTACTGATTCTCTTAGTCCCAGTGAGGGACTGTAAAGAATGCAGGGCAGGCGGTATTGTGGAAGAGCCACCAATGAAATCTACAATCTACGGCTCCTCTCCCCAGGAAAATGATCTAACCACAAACCTGGCCAACAATTTTTAAAAAGCCATGGATCTTCCGAAGCCCTAAGGGGTACACAGACCTGGCCAACAATTTTTAAAAAGCCAAGAGGCTGGGGATGAGGCAGCTCAGCACCAGGGGAGGAACCAAGTAAGGAGCACAGGTCTTCAGATTTCACCAACTTTCTCTAAAAGAGGAACTCGCTTTCATTAGAGAAAACCGCCACAAAACTAAAAGACTTTTTTGTAATCCTGCAAGTAAGTCTAATAGGCTAAAAATTAGTTTTAAAGAAACATAGCTGCCGCCCTGATTAAAAGGTTACATGCCCTGTAAACTCTAATAAGTACTAAGCACCCCACTCTCTATGTCATCACTACAGAATTAGCCTATTCAGGGAAGATTACAATCTTATAAGTCCTAAAAAGGGCCACATTGTCAAGACTGCAGAATGATGAATGCATTTAAACAAAAGACACAAAGAACAGTAAGTGCTTATAAAACACAAACCTATTTTTATTATGTGAATTTCTATTTTTTATGCCAATTTTTTTTTAGACACAAGTTGCATCCTCCCAAGAAATTTAACAACTGTCTATGAATCTTATGCCAAATAATGGCAAATAGTGTAAAGAATATCATCCTATGAGGATATAATGTAACACAGTACTTATCAAAGGACTGCCTTATTTTCAACAAGCATATTCAGCCAGGGTGATACGCAGACATTTAAATGTGAATCATCGATTGTATAAGACAGGGTTTTAGTGAATTAGAGGATTCCAATTCTCTGCATGCAACTTAATTTTTGCCATGCCACCACTGACAGAATCCTAAAGAGCAAAGCATCAATCTCATTTTGTATCATGTTTTCTCAAGATCTGCTAAGGGGAACTACAAGAAATAGAAATCTGGAGAGAGTACAGGAGTAGATGATGCAATAACTTATAAAACTAAGTAGTAATACAAAAGATTGATATTTATTAAATTTCCTTAAAGAGCTTAAAAAGGATATACTAATATTTTTTAAATAATTAAATAATCTGCTTGAAAAGAATAGCTGAAATGATAAGCTTCACAAAAGTATCATTTCAACCGTTGTAATGAAAAATTATAAAAATGATTTAAAATTTCAAAACTATTTAAAAATTTGCCAACAGCACACTTGTATGTCATCCTATGCACTGCACTCTGCTTGGGAAGCTTTGCAAAATATAATTTTGTCTTTCTATAGAATATTCTGATTCCATATTAATTTGTCATATCAAGATCCTCCCAATAACAGATCTAAAGGAAATTCAGACCAAAGGTAATCAAAGAATTGTAACACTGAAGTCTTCCTTAACTAATTCAACTCACACTAGTTTCTTCATCTGAATTGCACAGCACCTGTAATCTGTAACATTCATTTTGATTTAATAACAACAAAATGGCTAATATTCACTAAGCTGTATTCTACTTCGCATTATGACCATATTTAACCCTCACAGCAATCCTATGAAGTACCTCTATTTTCTCCATTTTAAAAGATGAGGAAGCTGAGGCAGAGAGGAATGGCACAAATAACTTTCTGGAGGTTATAGCTGGTGAATGGGAATTTGAATGTGAAACAATCTGACTTCAGAGTCCACGCTGTTAGTCACTATGCTAAACTACGTCCCTGCAAGGAAGAAAATACAGTATTATCTAATGAACACCTACTATGTGCCAGGAGAGACAAGGGCAAGTAAATAGATCTCAACTTAAGACTGTGTTCGACAGCTTCACAGAGATGAAGTAAAAATGAACATCTTACATGAACACTTACATGAACATCAAAGGAGGTATTCTACAGCAAAAAGAAAAGTCTTTGTATACTGTGATAGGTGCATTTGCTTATAGAAATAGCAAGGGAGAAAACCTGAATTTCTTATGTGCATTAAGATATGGTTCAAGCAAGAGCATCTGTATCTGTAACCTACGTGAATTGGTTGATTAAACTTGCTCAAGGATATAAAAAAGTCCTACTTAAAACAATGAAATTGATAAAAATTAAAAGTAAATGCTTTAGTACTTGAATTTTTACTTACTGCTTTTGAGGTTCCCTAAGTCGTCATGTGTTCCATTCTGTCTTTAATTAAGTGCACTATTTATAAAGTCCTGAATAAAGATTTTTGTAGGCATTTGGACAAGTTCTGATTGCCCAAGTTCCGCCTGCCAAATCCTGCCACTTGGAAGAAAGCCTCACAGTTTACAACTGTATTACAATAGGCTAATGTCCTGAGGTCATCTCTGATGGTCAATATAAATCAAAACACTCACAGAAGATGAGCTACACCTTTAATTTTACAGCCAATCAATCAGTATAGACTACGCTAATGCCTTGAGTATTGTGGTTTATTCCAAACACCTGAAAGGCCCCATGGAGCAATGTCCAACATTAACAGTATTTAAAGAGCATGTGCCAGGGACCATGCTCATTCACAACTGATGTTTGCTACACAGAGAGTGGTTGTCTAGAACTACAATTTGAATTCATGCTTTCTCAAAGATCAGGTATTCACACTGAGAGCTCAAGCTCTGTTGTGTAACTTTCCCCCTACATCCAAAAAGCTGTTATCAGGGCTTCTGCAAGCTACAGACCACCAAATAGGTCAACATGAAGAGAGCAGTATGGGCACCCAGCACATCTCGGAGTACAAAATTAGGTGACGGTGGAGCACCTCTCCTGGAGCAACTTCTTTTTCTCAAAAATCAATTGTTTTAAAAAGTAAAGTTCATGCTTACAGTAACCATGACTCCTACTTATTCTTCTCCAACAGATCCCCAGAAAATACTTACAGTGAAAAAATTGGCTTGATTTATTGGTAAGCTGATGCGAGGGTACTTTACAGGGTTTACTGAGTGTCTAGAAGCCAGCCTCTCAAAAATGTTCAAACTAATCACGCTGAGTACAATGCATCTGACTGTACCTAGAAGCCACTTAAAACGAATGTGGGGGTAAAAGAAACACTAATTCCTGAAGCCGGTGTGTGTTGTTTGAAGAGACCAAAAAAGATAAAACAGCTCACCAGAAGCCTGTCCCAGTCTTTACGGTAAATGTGTCCAGTTCCTTAACTTATCCTAAGGTAACTCCATCCCCCAGCACATCATTCCTAACAACTATTCAGCAACTGCCAACGTGAAATTTACTGTCCACTGCTTCTTTGGCCACAAACCTCAAGCAAGGCAGTCCTTAAATCTCCTCAGCTCACACCAGCTCCCCTTTATAAAAACCAAGGGAAGGGGTTATAAAGCCTTAAGAGGATAAAAACGAGGGGAAAAGGTGGAAAAGTATAGACAGCCTCTGCAACCACGCTCTTTTCCTTTATACCCGAGAACTTGTCATTTGGCTCCACCACACACCTTCACGTTACTGGACAAGCCACGCTTCTTCCACCTCACCAACAGTCCAAACTGCCCACTCTGTTCTAATAAATGCCAGGGTCCTTGTGGGACCACTCTGGGCCAGCCCCTCTGTTGATCTGAATCACTCGGGCCACCCATCTCTACCTTGTCCTAAAGTATCACCACGCTCCAAACTCGCAATTATACGAGCCCAACACACTCGATCCCGTCCTCCTGGCTCCCAACACGCTCCACTCCCTCGCCAAACCTTCCCTAACATCCTTCCCTTCCTTTATGAGCTTTTCCTATACACCTAACACCGTCTCGATGTCCTATGTCCCCACACTCCCAAACTCTCTTCCCTAACTGCAAGTCCAGCCGGGAGTCACACCCTCTCCAGCCTAACTCCTACAACCCGAACGCCCCATCTCCGGAGCCACGGCCACCAACCCAACACCCCACCCCAGGGCCGTCACGCCCTCCACCTGCTTCAGGGTCCTCTTCACCCGCCCGGCCTGACGCCCCTCAAGGCCCCCCGGTGCCCAGGCCTCCCCGAGAGCCCCGCCCGCCCCGCCCACAGGCCCTCACCGAGCAGCAGCAGCTTCACTTCTTTGGCCGCTTTCTCCCCGTCCTCACGCAGGTTGCGGTCGATCATTTTGCTCCGCTCCACCGCCGCCTTGTCCTCGGCGCTCAACGTGCAGCCCATGGCGGCGGCGGGAGAGGGGACCGGGCCCGGACTCACTCAAACACCGCGGAGACTGCAGGGCGAGTGGCCGAGACGGCGTCTACTGCTGGGCGGCGGCCCTCTCGGTCAGCTCCCGGAGAGCCCCGAGAAACCGGATATCCTGCGTTTACGACACTTCCGGCAACGCCCCGCGGCCGTTACGGCTTGAACTTTTCTAGCTCGGGTACTGGAGGTGCAACCGGAAGCGGAAGTGTTGGGAGGGGGCGGTGGAGCCCGGCAGAGGTTCTTCACGTCTCCCAGGTCCTGTGGACCTCGCCTTAGCGGACCTTTTCATGTTTTCGGCTGTCTTATTGGGATAAATGTACAAAAACCGGGGACTGGCTTCTTCAGCTCAGTGGATGAGAGAGATTCCCGATAAGAGCCCACAACCCGCGTGGGAATTTCTGCTGGGAATTTCTCACTGGCCAAACCCGGGGTCCCTGGCCGAGTGTAGGACACGTTCTCCGCCGGGGTCTACTCAGCCAGATCAGTGGCATGGGGACAAACGTCAGGGCCTGGGTCCTGGCCACGCTTCACATCTGAGATCTGTAAGACCGACCAGGCTTAGGACTTGAGCGATCCCTTCCTGCCATCTCTGGCCCACCGCCTCCCGTTCGCTGGCCCTTGTGCCGTTACGTGCAAATTCATGTGGACTTGAGAGTTGTCCGGCTACTATGTTGTTGGCAAAGGGCCGCTTGAAGTCGCTAGCAGACTACCTGAAAGGTAAGCGTGAGGTTCCTCCATAAAATTGCCATGCTGCCTTTCCCAGTATAAGCCAGTTTTAGCGCTACGCAGATCGCTCTGCTTAAAGGGCTTAGGACTTTTACCAAGATTAGTCAACCTCAGCCCCACACACCGAAACAAACCAGTGTAACCTGTGAATCTCCTAAAATTTCCTGTTGCGGTACCACACAAAAAAAGGAAGTCCTAATAAAATTTGCCTTTCAGTTCTGGCATCACTTGAAAGTTAATAAATCCCCTATGAAAGCCCCAGACTGATCATCTTTTGAACTCATAATTCTGGGTACCACCATGAAGGTGACCCTTAACGACCTTTTCTCCCAAAAGCCCCACAAATACTCTTCACCATACAGTGTAGGGAGGGGAACTCTTGTAGCCCCCAAAACCTTTCCCTGGGATTAAAAAGCATTTCCCTAATATCTAAACCTTGGAATATAAGGTCCCAACAGAAAGGGCTATATGGTGATGATTCAATAACTAGAAAGGTTTCACGAGAGCCACCTTAAACAGCCTCAACCCCCATAACCTAATGCCAATTTTTCAAAGTTTGAAAATACTCCTGTTCGTTCCCTAATGACTTAGAATAAAAGAGAATGCTTTCCCATAATCAGTACTTACGGGGGAAAAAGGGCAAGAGGAAAGGGAAGAAAAACCAGTATTTATTGAGTACCTATTTGCCAGGTATGGCTAGGTGCTTCCACACATCATCGCTTAATCCCCACAACAACCCTGTGAGGTAGGTAATGTTATCCCCACTTTTACAGATGAGGAAATAGGCTCAGAGAAGTTAAGCATCTTTCCCAAGTTCACACAGCGAGTGAGTAGATGTGACTCCCAAATACCCCTTTTCTGTCCTGCCACTGTAAGATGTTACCTGGGGAGACCTAACAACAGAAGTTTTTCTTGTAGGATTGACAGTTACCCCAGCACCACCAGGGTGCAGGAAAAAGCAACTGACAGGACAGTTGTCTCAACCTGCTGATTCTTCAGGGAGGTTAGGTCAAATTTGGTCCAGGAACAACTTCGACAGCTAAGGATTACATATCCAACTTGCGATCCTGGCGACTAGAAAACTCCTGGAAGGTTGTCATGGCGGAAACTTTTGGGAAAGTTCTTAGCATAATAGAAGAGAAATTTTTATTTCCTTCATGATCCACTCAGGGAAAATAAATGGCAAACAAACCAGGGTATGTCAAATTCCGTAATAAAGGCCTGTGAAATCACAGGGTCAGGAAATCTCAGCCTAAATTGGAGTTATCCTTACACTTAAATTTTTCTTTGATGTATGGGAAGGAAGGGTTGTAGGGCAAAGTCGAAGGAAAAGGCAGAATAAATTAACAAAATGGCTGCCAGACACTGTTTAATGCCCCCTCCTACGCCTTCCCTTTGCCCCCTCCTTCCAGGCACCTTTCCTATTTCCACTGGACTCACACTGCCACCTACTGGCAATGCTTAGGGCCTACTAGCAGATCAGTGATGTTTGGGAGTTTTTCCCCTACCTAGGAACTGAGATTCCACCCTTATGAGTTTATCTTAACAGGGAAGAGAGAAGAGAATGTGTTTTGCAATCACAAAAGACTCTCCTGGGTGTATATAGTATCTAAGGGATGTCCTCGATGTAGTAAGCACTAAACTAAGAAGAGAAAAACCTGGAAATTTTCCTAGATCTAAAGGGGGAAAGCTGTTTGCCCTGTTTCATTAAATAAATTATTTTTTTCAACTAGAGTTTCATTCACAACCAGCACACTTTCCACGATCTGCAGGAAACCTCTGTGTCAGTATCTTGCTGCAACGGACTGAACTCTCAGAAGTTAGAACATATTTTCTCCGGCATACTTTTCACACAACTCTATAGTGCTTTACCAGATGTAAAAGCTCTGTAAAAATACAAGGTGTTTGGTCAAATTAGACTATGAACACCTTGAAGACAGTGACTTCACATCCTCTATGTGGGACCCAGAGAATATTGACTATTGAACTATGATGGACTGAATTGAACTGAAGGAGTCAATGTTGATATCAGTATAACTTTTATAATAAAAATTATTTATTGGTTGTTCAAAGGGGAAACTATCCCACTCCCACCAGGTCATCTTCCCCTTGATGCTCAATGAGCCAGGAGTTTGTTCAAATACAGACCACACCACCCTCTTGGTCCTGCCTCAACCCTGTAATGTTACCTGATTCAGTTGAGGGAAGTGGATGGACAAGTAGTCCCAGATGGATGTCCTGTCCAGTTTGTAATGATTCCCCCTCCCTTGAAAACGCCACCACCAACCAACACAGTTCCTACGGTCTTAATCAGTGAACAGCTCAGCCCCACTCCTGTGCCCTCTCTCCAACCCAGGGCTACAGATAGGAGAGAGATTTAAGTCTTTGTCACTGAAGCTAATTTTGAGAGCGATGAATGGGAGTAGGGAGGCATTTAATGGACCATGGAAACCCCACCCGACCCATTCCCAACCTTAGTCTCTGTACCCAGTGGTCCAGGGGGCTGGAGGTGGGTCACTGCCGTGAGGAGAGAGATCAGGGAGGCCAATCCTAGAAAAGAAAAAAAAGATTTACAGTATTATTGGCAAAGGTGATTGCCTGGCCTCTCTGTATCCAACCACCTTAGCAATTCAACTGCTAACCCCCTCCTTCAGCCATCCAACCTCCAATCTTTCCACTTCCTAAAAGACAAGGAGAAAGAGCCATCCTGCCTTATTCTTGCCTCTGCTGAGATAAATCCCCAGCTTGATGTCCCATGAGCAGGAGACAGCAATAGAACAGAAGGGGCCATTCCTGGAGGGCAGGAGAGAGCGAGCTGCACTCAGCTTTCCTGTCTTCTACTCAGTGGGCCCTGACTGCTATTTCCCATTGCTTCTGGCCAAATTCAGGAAAGGACTATAGCCAGCTGGTCCTCTTCCTTTACAGAACCCTTAGGTCCACAACTAGAAAAAGATCTATGTACTCAAATTGAAACACTTGGCTATAATAGTTCTTTTTAAACCTAGCAAGGAGATAAAACATGGGTCATTTTCTTACCTTGCTTGGGTGCAATTACTGCCCTGGACAGTTACAGTGGAAAGTGAAATATCCTAAAGGGTCCCGAAATAATTCCAAGCCTGGCCTGCCGCCCTATATCCTTCAACTCCTACCCTTACAGAGTGGCCCTGCTTCCTGAGGCACGGAAAGCTCACTGGGTGAAAGATCGATCTTCTCACCTTCATGACCTTTACTCTCGTCACCATCTCACCAGGTTCCCTCCCCCAGTAGTCAAGGATCATAGCCATGTCCAAGGCTTTTGCCACATGTCTGTCCATCCTGTTGGCTCGGTTCCTGACCCAGAAATCACTAAGCAAAAGCTGTGTGCAGAAACCCCGGCCCCAGCCCCAGCCAGCTGGAAAAAGGTGATCCCACAAGGTGCTCCTAACCGGCCCCCAGCCCCATCTCCCTCCATGTGTCCAGCAGCCCATCACGATTCAGGTCGAGGCGAGGGGGCAGGACGGAGGTAGCTGTCTGACATGATGATGTCGCTGGTGAGTTGTTGCTCCAGGAACTCGGAGGTCTCCTCAGCTATCTGGCCTGGAATCCGAAAGTCCACAGCAGCTGGCTCCTGCTTGGGGCTGGGGAGGGGTCGGGAAACCCAGGACTCCGTGGAGCAGCCGGTGCCCTGAAGGAACTGCAGGAAGTTCTCCTCGATGGAGCCCTCCCGGCTGGGCAGCCTCAGCTCCTCCTCGGGAGCCTGCTTGAAGAAGCAGACAAACTGCTTGCTGAGCTCGCCCCGGATCTGCCGGTTGAGGCATCCATAGAAGAAGGGGTTGGAAGTGAAACAGAAGTAGCCGATCCAAGTCACCACGTTCTCCACCTGCCCGGCTGACGGCTGAGCGCTCAGGGCAACGTACAGGTGGAAAGAAAAGTAGGGCAACCAACAGAGCAGGAACTGTCCCCCCACGGCCAGGAGGACCACTGCCGCCTTCCCTCCCCCAAACGTCCGGTGCGGGGTGGTCTGGTGGGCCCCCGAGCTGGTGACCATGGTGGAGCGGCTGCTGAGAGACTCGGAGCGCTGCCGGGGCGTCTCCATCCACGTGGGCAGCGGGCCGTGCTGCATGGCGGCCACGCGGGCCACGCGGAACATGCTGCAGTAGACCACGAGGATGAGCAGCAGGGGCAGCAGGAAGTACAGGACAGCAAAGACCACCACGAAGAGCTGGCAGTAGGCACTGTGGCTCCATTGGAGTGAGCAGCCTGGGGGGATGCTGGGCACTCCCTCGTCCCGGGAGACCCTCCCCAGCACGGGCACGGAAGCCATGGCCAAGGCCTTCACCCACACGCCCACCAGCACCGAGGCCACCAGCCCCAGCGTCATGCGCACCTCGTAGCGCATGGGGTGGACCACGTAATAGTAGCGCTCCACGTTGATGGCCGACACCGAGAGGATGGCCAGGCTGACGAAGCAGACGCTCAGGAACACGTAGAGGCGGCAGGCCACCTCCCCAAAGAGGTCGTGGTCAAAGAGGGCGGAGCTGGAGAGCATGGCCAGGGGCATGAGCGTCAGGGCCGCCAGCAGGTCCACCAGGCAGAGGTGGAAGACGAAGACGAATTTCCGGAGGGCAGGCGTCTTGGCGATGACAGCCATCACGGCGGCATTGCCAGCCACGGCGGTCAAGTCCAGCAGGAGCATGAAGAAGAGGGCCACGGACTCCGAAGCCACGTCCCGCAGCCCCACCTCCGGGACCCCACTGGCAGTAGAGGGACCTGGGGTATGAGGGGCCCTCCCCAGAGTGGAAGAGTTCCCTGATGACTGGGGGATGGGTGAGGACTCCATGGGGCCGAGAGAGGACACCCAGGGCACCTCCTGTCACAGGCCCATCCCCCATCCTAGTCCAGTGACCCTGGGATGGCCAGCCCAGGCCCAGGCTTCGCAGTGCTGTGTGGGGGGATGCGGGGAGAGGGCGCCTCCTGCTGGAGTCTCTCGGGCAAGCTCTGGTGGCCAGCCTTGGAGGCTGGGTGGCGGGGACAAAGTGCCAGGCCAGTAACTGAGGGCTCAGGAGCTCATCTCTCAGAGAGGAGGTAGCTCTGGGGCTGCCTCGGTGACTGTGACCACGTAAGAGACAGACATGAGGGATGGGGGAGCCTCGCCCACTCAACACTCCACCTGCTGACTGGTCTCTGGCTCCTTCGCCACTTTCTTTCCTCTGCTGTCCTTTCGATAACTGTTATCCAGAGACTCTAAATCCTCTGTTCGCCTTTCCCAGGGTCCTGCTGAGCTCTGGGACAGTGTCCCAGTTGTTTACGTAAATTTCCTGATGTCTCGGCTCCTCAGAATGGCAGGTGCTGTTGAGGGGCAGGTCTGGGAGTTACTAGCTCGGTGACTCTTCCGAACTTCAAGTTCCTCATCCAGGCATCTGTAAATAGGAAATAATACCTATTTCACAACCGTGTTGGGAGGACCCTGTGAGCTTTATTAACAAGAGTGCTAATAATGAGCAGTGACATTATATAATGCTTTCCGCACTCCGGGCCCTGTTCTAAGCACTCGGTATGTTAGCTCATTTCATCCTCACACAACCCTGTCAGGTAGGTACTGTTCTTATTCCCATTTTGCAGTCGATAAAACTGAGGCCCAGAGAGGGTAAGTAACTTACCGAAGGTCACACAGCTAGTAAGTGGCAAGGTCTGGGTGCCATGCTAGGTTCAGTGGTGCCCTCCACAGCAGCTGGAACATATCAGCATCCAGTAAATAGCTGTGGAATTTGAGCCATCTCTAAAAATGTCTCTCGCTGCTCTGGGGCCACCACTGGGAAGAGATCCCCTGACAAGGGGACAGACTATGCTTTAGTCTGCTCTAACACCACAACCCCCAAGACAAAGAGCTGACACTTTGGAAGTGTTAAGGAGAAACAGACAAGCCCTGGCTGGGTGGCTCAGATGGCTAGAGCATCATCCCGATACACCAAGGTTGCAGGTTCGATCTCGGCCAGGCACATACAAGAATCAACCGATGATGCATAAGTAAGTGGAACAACAAATTGATCTCTCCCTCCCTCTCTGTCTCTAAAATCAATAAAAATTTTTTAAAAATTTTTAAAAAGGAACAGCCAAACAAACCATCCCAGCTGGAAGGAAACTGGGAGTTCAGCTCATTGAGCCTCCACTACTCCCAAAGCTGGAAGGGCAGAAGTCACTAGGACGCTGTCCTTCACCCACTCAACTTCTCAAGGCCACTGTGTCCCTGCAGGTGGGAAAGGAGCTGTCCCTAACCTCCCACTCCTCGGGGCTCAAGATCTCTGGTCATTGGAGGTGACCATCAGAGGACCCCTGGACCAAAGCCCTCTTGTTCCGGGACTGTTACCACATCACAGCGGTAACGGGCCGGGGGGGC